TTAATAACTTAATTTTCCTTAGGTTTTAGGATAAGGGTAAATTTCTTATTACTATTTTTTTTTAAAACTTAATAGTATTTTTTTATATATTTTTTTTTTATAATTATAATATTTAATATTCTTATATTATATTTTAATAATACTAAGGTTTATAAGTCTTAGTTTTTTATTATTATATAATATAATATTCTATTTCTTTCCCTAGTTAATATTATTACTAAAGTAGAAATACTTAAGGATTACTTTTTATATATTTCCTTTTTATTTATATTCTTTATATTATTTAAATAAATATTTATTAATATAAATAGCTTTTTTAAAAAGTTTATCTAAAGTATTAAGTAACTTATTTTAATATAACTTATTCTTAATATTAAATTTTAGTCCTTAGTAGTAAAGTATATATTATATTTTATTATTTAAGTTAGTTTTTATAACTAGGTATATAAAGGCAGTTATATATTTAATATATAGTTTAGTTTATTTAATTTATAAAAGTATTTTTTTTACTTCTTTAGTTTTATTAGTTTTTTTATATAACTTTTTAAGTTATTTTTTAAAGGTAGTATAATTAATAAATAGTTTATTAATATATTATTTTTTTAATTCTTAAGTTTATTTAAAATTTCTAAAATATAATTTAAATTAGTTTTTAGTAATTTTAAATAAATAGGTTTTTATAATTTAAACTTTTATAATATTACTAGCTATAATAGTTAAAAAATAACTAAAGTAGTTTTTTATATTTATAAAAAATTTTTAAATTTACTTAGGGTTTTTTTTAAATTTATTTAGTAATAGTAATTTAATAATTTCCTTAGGTTTTTATTAATATACTACAGGGGCTAGGTTTATTATAGGGTTTTCTACTAGTTATTATTTTTAAAAAGTTATAATAGTAACTACTTAAGTAATAATAGTTTTAAGTAATTCTATTACTTATTCTTTAAGTATTATAAAGTAGTTATTAGCCTTATTTTAGTTAATAAGTAGTTATAAAGCTATTATAATATTTTTAATAATATTTTTAAAATTATTTTAGATTTTAATATTACTATTATAATTACTTTAAGCTTTACTTTTATAATTAATATTATTATTTAAGACTTTAAAGTTTATAAATTACTAAGTTTTTAGTATTTTATTACCTATAAGTTTAAGGTAACTATTTAAATAAGAGTTATTATTATATAATAAACTAGTGCCTATATATTAGTATAAATAATACTTTTCCTAAGGGATAAACCTTAGAGAAGTTTTATAGTTTATATTAGTAAAGTAATTAAGTTAGTTAATAAGTAATTTTATTACTAATTAATAATATAAATAAAAGTAAAGGTCTAGGTTTTAATTTAATTATATTATAAACGCTATATTTATAATAATAACTAGCTATTTAAGTATTTTAATAAGTAATATAAAGTAAACTTATATATTTAGTTATATATTTTAGAGTTAAGTAAAATTAATTATAATTCTAATTAATTTGTTTATGTATTAATTAAAATTAATATTAATTCCTGTTAACTGCTTTCTAATTAGCTATGCGGCCTAATGTTAATCTAAAAGCGCCTACCCTGTAGGCCCCTTGTCGCGACCATAAGAGCCAGGTTATAACACCTAAGTCCTTAGTTATAAAAATATATTAGAAAATAAAAAAGTTAATTATTTAGTAAAAAAGAGTTTAAAATTCTTTTATTATTTAAAAAACTACTTTACTATTATTTATATTTAAAAATAAGTAAGAAGGAGGTATAAGGAAATATAAAATAATAACTAAAATAATAATTACCTAAAGTCCTATAAGGCTAGTAAATAAAGCCTTTATAAAGCCCCTTTTATATCCCTAAAGCTATATTTTCTATAATTAATCTTATATAAGCTACTAGCTAAGAGGTCTAGGTATAAAGACTTTATAAAATATTATAAAAAATTTAGATATAATACTAGGCTTACTTATAAGTATAGTAAGCTAAAAATATAAAAATATTTTATAAAGTACTATATAATAACCTTTTTCCTCCCTAAATTACTAAAGAGGGAGGTATACTTTAGAATTACCTATATTTAGTACCTCCTTAGTAATAGGGGGTATAAGGACTTTTAGAAATTAGTAAAGGATATAAGCTTATATAGCCCCCCCTTTATAAAAATAAATATATAATATAAATTAATACTTTCCTTTTTTTCCTTTATTATATTAAAATATAGCAAATGCCTAATTTAAACTTAGTAGCTTCTACTATCCTAGTGCCTAGATAAGGACTTATGTAACTAGCTTACTTAGTAGACGTTAATAATAAAATAAATAAATAAATAAATAAATGAAAAACTTGATGGTTTTTCTTTGTGTCTTCCCATAGGCCCTCCTGCTACGGATGAGACATGCGCTGTATCAACGTTGAATAGTTCGTTTATGTATTAGCAAACAATAACAACAGATTTTTTTGCTAGGCCTCATAAGTCATAGTGTGTATGCAGTCTGCGAATGTATTACACTGACCACCAGATGAAGCTTTTAAGTTGGGAAGTCCGCTGACCGCAGGTTACATGAACGCGGTTGTGGAAGATTCCACCAAAGTTAAGAATTATGACGAATATGTTTGCCATTGTTTTTTTGGGGGAAAGAAAGAAAAAAAAGACTTGCAAACAGAATACACAAGCAAAAGCCTTGTACATTTGGTTTTTGAATAGATTAAGTATGCAGTGCAACACCTGGCCCCTTGTTCGCATGGCCTTGGGCTATGTGGCCAAGCGGAGACAAATATCGAGCCATGCGGACTGCATGTATATGGATACTGTGGGACCTAAGTCTAGAGAGGGAAATCGTTAATATGGGAATGCTAGCAATTGCTTGTGTCTGGGGAGATTTGAGCGCCTCCTGCCAACCTCACCCCTTGCTGTTACGGTGCCACTAGGCGAACCTCTTCAAACTCTAAGAACAGTACATCATAAAATAGGACACATTTCAAATTAAAGCAGATTTCAAGTTTTTGCGAAGCTCGTCATTTGCCCCTAAGGCTAACCGCCGTAGGATAGTCGCGGAAGAAAGATCTCACCGCCACTCAGTCAGCACGAATCACACACTGACGGGGCATCTCAGGGTTTACATTATGCAAAGCATCTACCTAGATATAATATTAGAGTCGCGGTATTCTCTACAGTAATCGGGCGAGAATGATAGGTCGTTGTTCTAATCGCCACGTGGTAACGTCTACCATACATGCATACACTTCCACCGGCTTTCGGGCTCCCTTGCGGCGGGGCTTGTGAATCGTCGCACTGCGACTCACAATATGAGATATGAGCCGAGCAATAATTGGACACAGGTGTGCGTTTAAATATTTACACACATTAGGTTTACCCCGATGGGCGGTCGCTCGAACGAGTTGGAGGCCGCATACTGCAAGGAAGAGAGAGCCACACGCATAACACCGTTCCTCTTTGAGCAGATTAACATGCACCTATCATATCATATGCCATTCACATTTGGAAGGCCATTGGTAAAGATGCCTAGGTAGATAGCCACTAAGATGCCATCAACGTCAGCATGAGTACGGAGTACATGTAGTCGGTTTGCGCCGCGTAGTGGTGCGCGTTGCGCTGCCTATTCGTCATGAGGCGCAGGTACCCCAAATCAGCACGTGGTTTAAATGACCTGTAGGATATACTATATTACATCTGGAGTCTTGTTTAACATTGTTCATATGTGACTGCTGCCAGGGGGTCGCCAGGGTCGCCTTATTTGGAGGATAGATTCCTCGAGTTATGCAGCCCCGCCCTGTATGCCATAAGCTCATTACTTGGAACCCCCAGATTTGCTCATCGCCTTGGACTCATCCGGGCAGGCGGACACATTTCCCAGACACATGCGCTTAGTAGACGTTCAATGTTGCATTGCCCTCAAATAAGGATGCTGGGCTAAATGTTTGTTAGTGCTAGATCCTTCATGTTGCGTACCTTATGGGGGACGGGACGGAACGCAATATAGCATCCTTCCCGCGCAACAGCCAATCGGAAACATCCAGCTACATTGAAGACGCAAAGCGTAAGGCACTCCAAACGTATGCCTAATATCAAACTAGCTCAAATTGTGAGGGTTAGTATAAAGACATCCATAATGACATAAATAAACTTATGTGGCTACTGGGCGTTAATTTATGTCACATGGCCCAAAATCCCGGGATTCGGGCATTTAGGCCAGCCACAGTTGGGCTGCTTTCTCTTCTTTTCTCAAGGAAATTTCAACCTCTTGACCTCGATTTTAGCCACTTCAATTCCGCATCCGCATCCGCCTCTCTTTCTCTCTTCCATCATCGCATCAGTATCCGACTCCCATGACTATAAATACCACGCGCGTACCAAAGGCAGTCTTGACCTCCGCTTTCAACGGAAGAATATCGCCGAAGCGCGATACGCCTTATTTGGGCACCAATGCACCCAAACTTAAATCTTATGCGCACCCTGGGTAGGCGTCAAGACAAAATGGAGCAAACGAGACAGCCTACTCAAAAAGGCATACCCAGCTCTCAGTATATGAGTTAAACGAATCCAATCAGAAACACAATGGTTGAATCTAGATTTTTTGAGTGTTTTCAATGGGTCGGTCCGTCCGCAAAGCATTGATCGTGGTGCCTGTCGTGGGCAGGATCCTCGCACTTAAGGCAAAGTCATACCACGACGACACCCTGTAATGCAGCTGCAATCACCAAGCCTCCTCATTGCCTCGTGAGGTTGGACGAATCAGTAAAACACGCCGGGTGTTGGGGAATAGCAAAGCACAGCTATTGCAGATTACAGCACCCCTCAGGAGAAACTTGTGCCTCCCTCACCTGCGCTCCAGGATTCACGCCAGTCACTTTAAATTTGTGGCTATCCCCTCGTTGTCTTCCATTGAAAAAAATCGTCCTATCTGTTTTCCCACAGCAATTGCTTGCGAAAGGTTCTCGATAATCACCGCAATCGAGCCACCATCTATTTGACAAATACCGAAGCCAACGATGTCCTCCCACAATAGCGCCACGCACAAACCTGAAAACGCGTACGTATTCGTCCAATGTTCATTTCTCTTTATTTCCTTGAAATTCTTCGATGTTCTTGTTGACCCTTTTGTGGGCGTAGAAGATATCGTGTTTCTTTCCAGTGCCAGTTCCTATGTCGACAGATTTCTTTTGGCGGGCTTGGCCACCTCTCTATCCTTCTTCTCAACTACCTATGTAGTCCTAGGCAGTAGACCCTCTTGTAGCGTACCAAACGTACCTCCAGTTGTGTCCATATCTATAAACGACTCGAATGCTCCAATCCACAAGTGCCGATTCTGACAGCGCTCCTAGCCTTACGACCTCTCTTCTCAAGCAAATACCCGAAGACCACGATTACAGCATGGCGCGCTTTCTCGCCCAGCCGCAAACACCGACTGAGCGTGCTCCACTTGGCTTTAGGAACATTGAGAGTGAGGAGGAAACGAAGGCTCGCATGAAGACTCAGTTGGACGCTGTTGGTGCAGTACTTGGCCAAAGTAGCAATCCTCCTCCCAACCAGTGAAACTAGCAGCGGTTCGCGAGACAGTTTCTAAGGCATTGGAGAGTTTGCTCTAGAGACACGTTTCAAAAAATCATGCATATAGTCCGGTGAGACTCAAGGAGAAGTGCTAAGTTCAACCTCGTGAGGACATGGGGTTTGACGTGATAGGGACGTGGGATGACTGCAAGTGAAAATTGTTGGTTTGGAATTTCGAGTTGGATAACGTAAGCTCCAAATACCAAGAGTAAATGCCATCCCACCTTGCATTGAATTCTCTCCCACCGAGTCCCCTCATCTAAGTGCTGGCAGCCTTGCCGCGGGTGGCGCACATTAGACCACTTTCACGTTGCCATGTAGACTTACCAGAAGTACCGATCTAGGCCGTTCTCAACTACATGTACTTATTCCACAGCGGAAATGTTTTGTCTCCTGATCGTATTTGGTACCCAATGGACACCAACCTCGTGTATAGCGCCTTGTTGTGTAGTTATGAAGCAGTGAAGTAATAATATGAACACAGGTACTAATCTGCAGCACTAACCCTGACAAGCGCTTGTGGTAACTTGAACTGAGGCTTATGCAGCCATCAAGACTCAGCCACACCAACAGATTAACAAAGCCGCTTTCGTGGCTTATGCTGCCATTCACCGGCCGCAATGGATATAATTTACATGTCCAGAAATTCAAACAACAACAGCTACCAAGACAATGTGCAGATCTTTATAAGGCAATGCGTTCATAGGAAGAGCCTGACTCCAGCCCAATTCAAGCCTGACTCAGGCCTGACTCCTTCAACACAACAATATCCTTCTCGTGCTACTTGTAGATGCTTCCGCACCAGAATATTCCATTCGATGCTCATTTACCGCATTCAGTTCCCGCGTATCCATCAATACGCGTTGGCGTCTCAAATGGCTCCCTAGGAATTTCCTCCGCCTCCATTGCTCTCATCTACATGCGCCCTACGAAAACCGAGTACAAAACATGCAAGCTAAAATTTCAAGCCCGTAAATACGCCTATGCACAACAGTTGTCGCTATACCCTTACCAGACCTGCTTTTCATGGCGGTGATGATGTCTGCTTAGCCACGCCCCAGCCGACCTCATCCGACCGCCTTTATCCTCGCTCTAGTCTCATGGACTAGTTATGATTCTACAACCATATATTACTGTGCGCCACGTCAACATGCTAATCTTTGTTAGCTCAAGCCCGTTGGTCCTATCAATTACCCTCCTCTACGACCTAGAGGTCATTTTCCAAAGTGCATGTTCCACCGAGGTTCCATATAAATAGCCGGCTTCGGAGTCAACGCTGCCCAACTCACTCTTCCAGTTCTTCACTGACCTACACGTTATGATCATCAACTCTGACAGGTGTGACGTTCTCGTTTGCGGCGCTAGCGCTCACGTACAGTAGTAGCTTCGACAGAAGACGCCAACATGGATTCCCCTGCAGAGCATGGAGCAAACCCTCGCCAGTCGCAGATCCACAGAGCCGCAGAGCCGCAGAGGGGCCCTCAAGCTAAAGCATTTGCAGCATAGCTTCAACAGATGTCGCTAACCAATTGCCTGCACTTCAATTAGTGGCGCGAGCATGCCAACGAGCACCTCTCTTCCGCCAAGCCACCACGAATCTATACATCTTCCACGCGTGTCACTGATCTGCAGTACACGTATGTAAGGGAAGCGGTGAGACCGGCGTACAAGATGGTGATCGGAATGAAGATCTTGTGTAAGCCCTAAGAGAGTCATCCGTTGACTAAGTACCAAGCGCGTCAATGGAAATCCCAAAAGAATTTCAGTTTCATCACAGAGCCGCACGTTCTTGTATGTTGTTTCTGCACGCTGAGCTGTGCTTTCCAGATGGGATGGTCGTATGACCTACATAAGAATCCATCCAATCGATATCAAGCAGTGGAGAAAATGTTGAGCCTCAACCCAAACAGCTGACCGAATATTCTAATCCAATCCATCACAGCCACTGGCCCTAATAATCTCTCAATCTTCCTTGTTCCAAGCAACTCCACAGTGGCAAAAAGGCTTCAGCAAAAAGTGCAGTCATGGTAAACACGATTGCTGTTGTATCCATATGCATGCTCCCCTGTCTCTTGGCGCAGTTGACAGCGAAGTCTAATTGTCCCACCCAGTTTGGTTGCGGCTCACCAAAACTTTTGCTTGTGATGGTCATCTCTCGCTACAGATGTACCAGAGATCGCGGATACGTGCGTCTCAATGAGGGTAACGGAGCCGGTCCGATTTGTAATCCGTCCAACCAAGAGCGTTCTCTAGCCCTCGCAGCGACGTCCGAATAGAAGAAACCGTGAGCCGTATTCTCTTTGAAAACGCAGTAGTCGACCTGGTACATCCAAAGTTGTGCGAGAAGCTCGCAACTCACCGATGCGAGCAGTACAGTAGCGACGATCCGAAACTCTTCTACTACGGGAGCATGCCACCTATCAGAATATCAGCCTAGCTCGGACTCTCTAAAAGTTGTACAATAGGTAGTTGAGGAGTGGTGACCCTGCTCATCGGTACTGTGCCAAGCACAACCGGCCATGGGAGTCCATTTGTCCTATGGACTAATCTTACGAGCTACATATCTAACGCAGCTACTATGTAAGGAACGATCCAATCCGTCAACATACCGACGGCTGCGTAGCTGAATTATGCTTGACCAAGTATTGACAGATCGGATAACCAAGTAATAACACAATCAGATCGTTGCACCCTCTCTTGGCAGAAATGCCTGCCTAGAAAATTCTGCGAAAAACGAGATCCGCGGAATAGACACTGAGCTAACAGACATGGGTAGATGATTCTACAAACCTGAATTTAGTGTTCAATGATGGAAGATAAGATTAATCAACATTGGTGACCTCCAATCCCGTACTCCCTTTTCAGGAGAACGAGGCAACTTTTGTGATTTTTTTGCCTTCCCTTATAAACACCGAAGCCTCAGTGACTGTATAAGAGCAGATCACCGGCCAGCCAGCGCGATTAGTGCAAAATGTAATATAGTTTCAACCTCAATCTGCTCGCTATTGGATAAAAAAGGCGAAGACTGAAAGGTGGCACTATGAGACATCGCCCACTGAAGCACTTCTCTACACACTCATCAGGGCGCGGCCACGTCCCTATGATTTTCGGAAGATCTCCAATGACTTTTAGCCACCTTAGGGAGACTTCCAGCCATGTTGAGTTTCTATCAGAGGTGTATGCCTTAGCCAAGTTCTCCGGTTCAGGGGCTCCAAGTCTTACATTACAGAATGAGCTGGCAAAGGCTCCACCAGTGATGCAATATCCAGCTGCTGACCTGAAGGCCTCCCTAGAGTCTGCCTAGGTACAGACTACCATGATTCGTCAAATATGCGGTCGATCGACTGTAACGGCGGTGGGGAGGAGATGCCTCTTCGTCTCTGCGGGCTGCCTTTCGTGTTGCCTATCGAATCGCCCAACTCCTCTTCGCCGCGCTCTATGGCACCAACATTGGAGAATACTCATTGACCCTACGCCACCAACTTCGTTAGCTCATGCTTCGTTTAACGCTGGAAGGACCATCGTCTAGTCTCTCGGTTCCAATGCACTAATGAAAAGGCAACCAAGCCAGGCTCACCATTTCAAGAATCAGGCCACTTTGCCTTATTTTGGTAACCCCCCGTGACGTACAAATAGAAGGGAGAGTGCGCCCATCGGCTTCAATCATAGATGGTCGTGTTGCAACTTTAATGGGAGGCTAAGAGAAATGTATACATCGTGATGAGGCGCGAGCCATCCAAGCATCAAGATTCGTCTAGCGGTGTGATCTAGGTGATTCGCAAGGCGTAATCGTATTGTATGTGCCATAACGTATTTTTGGGATGTCGGTTAAGGCAGCCCGTCTCAAGCACATGATGACCTGAAAGCCCCGGTCACACTCGGAGTCGCCGCGCCATCTTTCGGCCTAACTCGTGTAATTCGTTGCGCCGTCCCCTGCTCTCGTAATTCAGTGGTGAATAGTCGTTTCCTTCAAGGGAGATTCAATAGCGACTTCATAGCAATGAGTGAGTTCACAGGTATAGCGGTGCGAGCGAGGGGAGGATATAGAAGAGATAATTTACTTACAGGAGACAATTAGCAATGTGTGCCTAACTAGAATCTCGTTTCTTTTTCGTGATGTGATCAATATGGACAAAAATGAAGCGTTGCATGCACCCCGCTTCAAAAGATGACCCTGGCAGACCGGCATCTCCAATAAACCCGCCAAAAGAACCAAGTTTTTCAAGTTTTTACTTCAGCCGCTAGAATCTTGCAGTTTGAATCTATTTATCCATTAATTTATTTTATTCCCATCCGTTATGTTGAGTGGTGCCTAAGCCAATATCCTGCCTTCCTCTTATCTTCTTGACTCTCAGCCTCGCGAGGGGTAAAAAACCGCAAAGGTCACCTGTTCGGTTTGCAGGCAACCTCTACGGCTGAGAGAATAAATTTCATTGGTAAGAAGAGGATAATTCACCACCCTCTGTTCAAAATTACGTTTGATATCGCATGGCGTAATATGCCCTCCAAGCAGCATTCGTATTCGTAGTAGAAGCTGTGCAGCAAAACAATTGATATTCCATCCATCTTTAGTACAGTCAGCCTCTCCCCAACCGCCACGTAAATATTGCGCAATTTCAGGCAAAAATATTCCTCTTCGTGCCTAATGAACCCCAAGAGTGGACGCGACCTCATCACCATTCAAAGCTATAACTGTAGGCAAATCCGGTTGCCTATACCCCCAGTTTCTTAGTGGTAATCGTATTTCCGCTCGATTTACGACTCTTCAATTGCCTCCAAACTACTCTGTTGCCTCGTTTTGGAGCTCGTCTATTTCAAACTGCACACAAAAGGAGGCAAAGGCGATGGAAACCCAACGGAGGAATCTGCTCCACTCCACCAAAAACAATATCACTGCCTGAATGCACACACGGGCCGAGAAAGTCTTGGGATCTTTTGTCATAGGACGCCATTGTCTTTACAGGGCCACAAAGCACCCCTCGGCG